GGGGGGGGGGGGCGGGGCTCGGGAAGATGGCTGGACGCCGCCAGTGGTCAGTGCAAGGTCCCCCGAAGTTCAGGCGGCCTGTGCTGCGGGGGGCCGGGGGCCGCCCAGCTGTGCCGGCTCACCGCAATGACCTTGCACGGGCCGCACCACCTGCAACAATGCGGGGGGGGGGGGGAGAACCGCGCACCCGCGCCGCGGGTTGAGCCAGAAACCAGGACGATGCGGCAGAGTGGCGGCGAGAGCGGGGCACCGCCGCCCAGCCGCGCCGTCACCGCGGCGCCGTCTGGCGGCGCCCCCTGCCCGGCCCCCGCAGGTTTCTTGTTGTTCCCGGTCTGCGTTCCCGGTCTCTGCTGGATGACTCACTGGGTGTAGTAGTCCACCAGGACGGGGACGTCGCTGTTGGCAGTCAGGTCAGCAAACGCCTCGGGGTCGATCTCGCGCACCTGCCGGTTTTGAACATGGTGCGGCGCGGTGCGGCGTAGAGTTCAAGTGAGGGGGCGGCGCGCCGAAATGACACAAGTGCCAGAGGGGCTCAGAGGTTGTGGGTCACCAGGTGGATTGATCCACACTGCACAACTTGTCGCGCATGCGCACGCGCTGCGAGTGTTGCATCGCGCCCTCACCGGGCGACCTCAATGGGCTGCATTGCAGGGTTATCCTCTGCCTCAAGAAACATACTGAAGAGAGTTGGGCCCTCGGCACAGCCCCTCGGCACCCAAGGCTTGCGTTTCGCTCGAGGGAGCACAGAATCGTCCATCACAGCGCCTGGGTTGCCCCGACACGGCGTGAATGCTTTAAACCAAACATTTGTAATGCTTCAGACGCACGCCAGGCGCAATCCCAAGGCTGCGGTGGCACCGAGATGCACGCGCGCACCAGCTTGACCTGCTCCACCACCGTGGGGGCGGACACAGCCTCCGCCCTGCAGCACACGACACGCGCCCGAGTGCGTTGTCCAGCACGGAGGGCCGCGGCAGAGCCGCGCGTGCTGATCTTGATGGTCTGCATCGATGCTGCAGGAGCAGTAGCGGCCGCACTGGAGGTCAAAGGACGAGCAGAGATTTGCAGGTTTCAGTGCAAGCGGTGAGTGTGAATCTGTGGGCCCACTGGCGAAGATTTTGCCTCGGGTGGGTCTGGTGTCACCAGGCCTTGGCGCACGCCTGGCGGCTTGGGAGGGAGAGGGGCGATCCGTGTCAAGATGACAAGGTCAGTGCTCTGCAGCGGTTACACCAACATCAAAACAGCCATGCCGCCACCAGCGCGCAGTGCACAGGGGAGCGGTTGGGCCGCGTGACAGTTGTGGCTCGGCGGTCCGACCCCGAGTGCACACTTTTGCTCAACAGACAAGTCCACCTTCTGTTAGGGGATCTAGAGGTTTTCCAGGGTGCACGTAGGGTCCTCCCTCACTTAGGGGGGTCAGAGCTGCAGTGAGAGCACGAAAGCTTGCAAAGGTTGGTACAAGGTCGCCAAAGGTGATGTACAGGGCTCTCAATCCCTTGCGAAACACGCAACCAGCAGCAGAGGTCTGCGCAGAAAGGCAGACGCACAGCAAGAACATGCTGTGTTATCAGATGAGAGGGCAATACATCGGACCTCTTTTGCTGAATCGCGAGTTTGCTTTGTTTGGTGGCCTGTGATCTGTGGCCATTCACCTCCTGGTTTGGGCAAGCGTGCCACCCAGACACAGTCCTGACGTTGCAACAATTTGAGCCCCCCTAAATGTGCGCGCCTCGCCGCCATTCGCACCATAATAATCCAACCTGCTGCCCTCTTGAGGAGTGTTGCCCAGGCGAAGCAAAATCTTGTGGGGGTTACCTGCGCACGTAATGCCGTCCCACTGCAGGCACGCCCCACAAGAATACATGCTCGCACTGTCACCCTGGCTTGCTTTCCCATCTTGTATGCCCTGCCTGTTGTGAAAGATTTTGAGGGATTCCTGTTCAGGGGTCTGCAAGCCCTGCTGCCAGACAGGCGGGGCCCCTTGGGGGCCCCAAAGCTGCCTGGGCTGCTTCCTTTCCACCAGTTGCCAATGATCTCCACTACTGTATTTGCTGTCCCAACACCTTGACATGTCAACCACTGTGACTGAAGCAACAAATAGGATCCGATGTTGTTGCCCTGGTCGATCTGCTTGCTGCGCCCACGCCCGCATGGCTGCCATGTGCTCGGTCCATGTCGAGGTCCTGGCGGAGCCCGCGCTGGATCCTGCAGTGGGAGCGAGCTAGAGCCTGCAAGCGCGCATCAGATACGAAAAGTGCACGGAAGTCGAAGACACACTAAACTGCACTTTTGCACACGCAGAGGCCAGCGGTCATCACTGGTCGCGGGTCACCTGTCGGCACCCTGATCGGGCAAGATCACATTTGGGGCTTTCAGCGTACCTTAGAATACTGAATCTCAGATTTACATACATATGTGATCTAGTTGCCAGATTTTATATCGTGCAAACAAAAGCAGGTGTCAACAATCGCGCAAACTGTGCGTTGCTGCGCTCGCGCATCAATACGATCAACAGCTTGAGCCTCACTGGCACACATCTATCGCCATGAGCGCCAGCAATGGCAAACGGCGGCAGTCGCGGCGCGCTAGCAGCAGCGGCGCAAACAACGGCGTCGCGTCCTTGGCAAACTTGGAGTCCTTGGATGACCACCTCCTGCTTATGGTGCGACAATGGTGCCACACGACTTTGATTGAGGCCAACCAAGCGATCAAATTGCATGCACGCTGTTTGTGTGTGCAGCTGGGGGCTTCGCCTGCCGCGCTACGCACTCCCCAAACGCCCCAGCGCGCCCCTCGCCCCGTGTCGCGGCGCGCCCCATCAACCCCGCCACCGCCGAAGGTGATGGAGCGCTCGGAGTTCCCCGGCCGCCCGGCGCTGGCGCAGGTGTCGCGCCGCCTGAGGCGGCTGGCGGAGCACGCCTGCTGGACCCACGAGGTGCGGCGGGGCCGCGCCAGCGCTGCACAGCGCGGCGGCGGTGCTGGGTGCGCCACCAGCTGCCGAGCTCCCGCGCGGCTGCGGGCTTTAGGCAGCCCAAACGATCCAACGCCGAAGTCGCGAAGCTACCGAGAAGCTACCGTGGCATCACTGATGGCGGGTGCTTAGCCGTCGGCCACGCGGCCCCGCGAACTAGGAGATCCTCGCAGCCGCTTGCCCGGCCTTCTGTCAAACCCCCTGGACATGACGCGGCCGCAGGTGGATGGCGAGGGCTTGAGCCTCATCGATGCAGTGGAGCGCGCCCGGCCTGGAGGTGCGCGCCCTGCCTACCACCACCGGCCCCGGCTGCGTTGCCCGAACCCAGTCGTGTGCAAAGCCGTGCGCACCTGGCTCATGCGAGCCCCCAGCAGTGCCTTGCCCCTGTCAACAGCCCGCATCCACCCTCATGCCCTGAGTTAACTTGAAAATCACACAGCACATGTGTGCATACACACGCCTAACACTGTCTCACATGCGTTTCTCCTCATGCCCCAACCGCAGACACCCTGCTGCTCACGGGGCCCTTCTTTCAGGAGGCCTTCATTGCTGAGAAGCCGCTGCGCATCGTCGGCGCCGCCGCCGCCCCCGGCTGCGCCGGCGGCCGCGCGACGCTGTTCCAGCAGCGGCCGCCGGTCGTGCTTGCGCAGGCGCGGTGAGCTTGCGCGCGCCGCGCCCCGCGCCGTGCGGCCGCGTCCGCGCGGCCGGCGAGCCACGAGCAACACTGCTGCCTTTCTGCCTCCCTGCCTCCGCCTTGCGGCACCTTTGCGGCATCCCCGCCCCTCCCCTCAAACGCGCCGCCCTGGGACCCAACCGACCCTCCTTGCCGCGTCCCCCTCAGCGTGCTGTTCCGCAACCTGGTCCTCCACACCGGGGCACAGCGCGACGACACCAGCATCGCGGTGATGGGCCCAGAGTGCCAATACCTCAGATTCGAGGGCTGCCGCCTCCTGGGCGCCACCGGGTGGGTGGGGAGAGGAGGGGCTCGCATGGTATATGTGAATGGAGGCATGTGCGGCCCCGGCCCCTGGCCGTGGTCGGGGGCTGGACAATTGCGAAGATCCCGCTCCGCAGCCCGCAACTCCCACTTGCGCTCTTGCTGCTGCGCGCCCCTGCCTGGCCTGTCGTGCAGGCTGGCGCTCCCGGCGAGCAAGGCGCCGTCGGCGCGGCTTGAGCTTCACGACTGCGAGCTGGCAAACGTGAAATCGGTGGGAGCCGCGTTGTGCTGTTTGTGCACGTGTGTGTGCATGCAGGGTGTTTGCGTGTGTGCACCAGTGCCAGCTTTTGGGCCCACACAAATGCGTGCACATGTGCACAAAATGTGCTGACATCCTCACCCGTGCATTTGTGCATGGAACACTTTGGATCAGTGCGCCAAGGTGTCAAGCTGGCTGATCGTGTGTGTTTGTCTGTGCGCTTTTCTTTGCGCGTGCCAAGCTGAGTTGTCAGCTCACCGATGATCAAGCGCTCCCTCATCACCCAGTGCCCTGTGCGCACGATGCACCCTCCCCTCAAATCCCATCCCTCAGGGCTGCAGCGCGCTACAAGTCGCAACAGGCCTGCTGGTGATGCGGCGCTGCCTCGTGCGCAACAGCTCGATCGGGATCGAGATCGGGCGCGAGTGAGCACACTTTGTCGTGATCGGTTGTGATGTGACCTGGCAGCAACCTGATTGCATCCCTCGCACGTGCCTGGTTGCATGTCGTAACGTTGGTTTTTATGGGGTTGCAGCATGGGGCATGCACAACAAACTGACTGTGAACTGGTGCCCGCATGATCCTGAGTCTGCTCCCGCCCCGCTGCCTCTCTGACCTGCCTCTCCAACCTGCAGGGCCTTTGCTGACCTGTCAGGGGTGCAGGTGGGCGGGGCCCTGCACGCCCGCGCCCACGTCATAGGGCCCAGGCGGGAAGGGTCACCCCTCCGCGCCCAGCGCATGCCTGCCGCGCCGACGGCCAGCCACTGGTGGCCGCACTGCTGCCCCGCAGCCCGTGGTTCATTGGCGCCCGTGCGTTGCAAATTTCCCCTCACCTTGGCCACACACCAGCAAACACAATAAAAAACAACAACACAATTGCCATGCTTCCCTTTGCACCGCCCCCTGACCTCGTTTTCCTGAACGCAGCTCCAGTCAAACTCGACGGCGTGCCACTTGGACGGCAGCGTCTGCATCCGCAACTGCGCCATCTGGGCCAACCAGATGGTGAGGGGCTGCGGAGAAGCTGCATGGAGTAGCTGGGGGGGGGGGGGCTGCTTACAGGAATTTCATCCGATTGCATTCATCCGATTGCATCGCGAGAAGGTTGCTTGATTGTTTCAGCTTCAGGTCCTTGCCTCATGGAATGGTCAACCCTTCCTACTCAGCACGTCAAACCACACACACACACGCGCACACACACACACACACACACACACGCGCGCGCGCGCGCGCACACACACACACACACGCACACATTACAGGTCGGCTGCATGCCAACAGAGAAGC